TCCAGCAGTGAATTTTGGAAGTCCTTTCTCAGGAACAAAGAGTCCTCCATCAGGGGCTAAGCCCTCAGTAACAACATCACTGAAATATTTACAAGAGTCTTTTTCCATACTCCTTCCAGACCTACTAGACCTAGTTGAAATGAAAGTTTCCAGTTCTGAGTTTTGGTATCTCTTCACAGCATCAAGTACCTTTTCTGCTACAACCTCTGCCGCAATATCCCCTCCACAGAGAACACGGATGTCATACCACCTTTTGTAGAACTGCTTCCTAAACTGAAGTATGTCCTTGAGAGAAATATCAGGAGACTGGCCCACGATGCGATCCACTTTCATTGATTTCAGCCTGCTCATAATGACTGTGGTTGGCACATCCAGATATACAACTATTCCATTTTTCTTCATATGCCGCATGCCAGCAGAATGCATTGGATTGGACCCAGTAAGGGAAATGACACTTCCAGATGCTGAAAACTTCAACAGGGCTTTTCCTTCCTCCTCTAAAAATTGCTCATTACCAACATCCTGCAGTTTTTCCGACACACTCATATTCCAGGTTGTTTCAAGGACATCGTCATCTATGTCTATGACAGGGCAATCTAGTTTCTGACCTACTATTCTCCCAACTGTTGTTTTCCCAGCACCCGGAGGTCCCATCAGGATAATATTTTTGTTTCCAACAAGACAATGGCTTGAGAACCACGACTTCCATAGCTGTGCAAATGCAACAGGTCTCGAAAGCATGAGTTTAAAACACATGCTAGAAAGACTGTTTTGGGTTATTAGTCTTAAAGGACGATATTGAACAATGTGAAACATCTTCTGCTGGGCTGTTGGTTTTTCTTTTTCCAAGCCAACTTGACAATCCACTCAACTGCTTAAAAAAGAAAAAAAAAAAACAAACAGTAATTAGTCCTTCAGCAAACATCTAGGAAAAAAACTAAAGGATATGAAATTCAGAACAACAAGAATTCAAACATAAATCCAGTTATGACTTCATCAGTGCCAGGGAAGTATTTTTCAGAACAAGAGTCATTCCCCTCTCCTGCATAGCTGCAGCTCACTTGCACTGACAAACCCAACTTCAAACAGTCCATGTCATCAGGGTAAACAAAGACATCCAAACCTAACACTACAACACTATTTGCAAATAATATTGTTTATAGGAATTCAAAAGCAATTAGATTTTCCTCTAGTAGACTTACTTTTAAGTACGTATTTACAAATAATGAAGATTAACTAAATTACCTTCTTGTAATCAAAATGTTAACAAAATATGTATTTTCCCCACCTCCAAAGTTGCCTTTGATTTCTTATATTGTCTTTCTAAAAAAAAAAAAAAAGCAAGACCAACTTAAATACACAGAAAACTCACAGACTTGTGCAACAGCAAGGCTGAAAGAGTTGCATCCAATTCTCTTCCAAAGAGATGGCAAACCAAGCAAGTGATTTGTGAAGAACTCCTGTAACAGAATTGTATTGAGTGTAGTTTGTGTAAAGTAAGAGAGAGAGAAAACACGTCATAAAGACACTCTACCCTCAAAAAAAAAAAAAAAACACTAGGAAAGTTTAATCTCCAACAACGATTACGCAAGAAGCTCTCAACACGGTATTTTGTTTGCTTAGAGAAATCAACACCAGTAACAGCACGAATTGCAGCACAATTTGTGCGTGTTTAGGGCAAAGGGGGAAGAACTCTCAAAATCTCCGTAAAGGGGCGAGGAGGGGGCAGAAATCAGCACAAATATGCACAGAAAATCCCTACAGAGTAATTTTTCTTTTTAGGTAGGCAAACAAGTATCACTTTGTTATTGTTATTTATTCATTGTTCATTACTAAAAATGCTTAAAGCAAAGCAACACTGAACTTCCTTTTAGGAACTTAATGAAATTTTAAATGTAAAAATCCAACTCGGTGCTTACGGATCAATTCTAAAAAAACAATATATATTTTATATAGATATTTGCAATATCTATATAAAATCAGCATTTTTTAGAAATTATTACTTTTAGTTGCTATAGTATGCAGTACAAAGAGCTGCAAGTTGTACTTTTTTTTTTTTTCTCCTTTCTGGCACTGTAACACGTAACCAAAATGGCAATCAGCAACTTCTAATAAGTACATTTTAAAGACTCCATCTAGCTGCTAGCACCCCAGCATTTGCTTTGGAATGTTTTTTGTTTTTTTTTTTTAGTTTCTACACCAGCTACTTTTACCAGTGAAAAAAAAATTTAATGAGAAAGTGACAAGACAGACTAAACAAAACAATTAAAGGAATTCACTGAAGACTAAGTTTCCAAATCCTTCAATTGTTCAGTGCCTTTTCTCTAGATGCTCTCCAGTCCAACAGCCTTTTATCACTGTGGAGAGCAGGAGGAGGCCTGGAATTGCAGTAGCAGGCAGGTGAGCACCAAATGGGAACTCCATCATCTTCCAAAGACCTACCCATGATTAACCCATGTTTACAGTTATCACACCAGTCCTTCAAGACCCTGCTGTTCCCCATCAGCACGCATAACATCAAATGACTCCACAGACACACGTCACAAACTTCAAAAACGACACAGAAGCTCAAGTTTTGTAAGAGCAAACCACAAAGACTTCACTTCCAGATGCTCCTTGCTCTAGATACTGCTCTGCGTTCCCTGTACTGTCTTTCATACTCTCCTTTCTTTACCAAGCTATTAACATAAGTTACAAAGTCAAAGCACTTCTAATTGTTTAAATCTTTGCATTTGCTCACTTCTGTAAGGAGAGATGAGCTTGCAAACAGTAAGCCTCTGTGTTTGCACCCAGTGCTGTGACGTGATGAACATGCTATAATTACAAGGCATAGATGAGAGTAAAGATGGGCATATCATACTGTACAGTTTTTTCCCAATCCTTGTAAAGTAGAAGGGAATGGTCATACATAGATACAATATAAGGTTTTTGTAATAGTTATTAAAAAGAAAAAAACAATCTGTGAAGAGTAGTTGTAATATTCAGTATCATTATAAAGCTGTACCATACTAGTAATGCACCCTAATAAACACAAACATAGAGAGCTACAGGGCCAGAAAGACATATTTGTATTAAATGTCCAGATGTAAATAAGTTATGTTCAGAATTTTAAAAAATTTAGAGACAATATTATAGCGATTTTATTTCCTGAACATAGGAATCACTTCAAGCGTTATGTATGAACTAAGGGAGTACAAACCATGCCAAGCATAGTGGCCTGCCTACCACGTCCAGTTGCACTACAGATTCACTTTGAGGTGCAGTCACTCAGCACACACTACACAGCTGCTGGACATAACATCTGGACTGCTTTATGAATCCAGGCCACAGGGACTTAAATCCCTCCAAATTACAGGTGTAGACAAGGAACTAGACCCAGATTTGTCTAGTTATAAGCTTAACATGTTTACATGAACTTATAAGCAATCTATGGTATTGTTTGAAATCAACTTGGTTAACCTGGTGCAAAACTTTGCAGGGAATTTCTTTATTCAGTTGCTCAATCAGTTTAATCTATTCCAGTGTAATTCAATTTTGCACCCATATAAAGTACATTTACACAGAAGCTTGCAACCATTGAATTCAACTGTTTCTTTGAAACCATTTTTTATTCAATTGGCAAAACCGTACTGTAAAAACAGCTCAAATCAGACTTTATATCTCATAGAGTTTACCAGTCTAGTTAGAACACCAAACCATCCAACTTTACATATAGCTAATTCTCCCAAATTAGCGGTATTTTTTTTTAAGCAGAGCTTACATCCGTACCTCCAATAAAATTTTAAGTTTTGACAATACACCTCGACCCTTCACTTGGACTGCTGACAGCACCTACATATCGTCAGCAAATATCCACAGCTGTAACAACCTCTGCTGATGACAAGAGTTATAGTGAAAACCAAATTTTGTTACTGGTATAGACACAAGTTTGCAACAACTTAAGGTATGGTTAAAATTCAGTAACCAAACAAGTCAGTGGCAATTAGCAGCTGTCGAAGACCTCAAGGTAGGTCAAGACTGGTAATTATATTTCAAAACTGTTAACAGAGGACAACTGCCATTTGACTTTTCTCAGAGCTTTTATGCAGAGAAAAAAAAAAAAAATCACAAACTAAACCGTTCAGCTTCAACTGTCCCACGACCACCCCACAGACTGAGATCCTGCAGAGGTTCCCGCCTCACCGTTTCGACGCCCCGAAGGTGTCAAAGCGCGGCTGGCAGGAGGGGGCCGGGCCGGGCCGGGCCGGGCCGGGCCGGGGCCGG